TCCAGGGGAAAAGAAGGAGGAATCAAAGGGGATCCGGTGTGGGGGCGCATTTCCTTCCCTTTCCTCTTCCAGTTTTTCAATCTTCTTCTTCCTCTTACACAATACTTTTTCAATTGACCATGTATCCTCATTAACACACCATGACGGCAAGAACCAGTCCCCGGGAGCTTTAGGAGCTTTGTCCGTCTGGGGCGGTGGCCCGCTGTGGAGCTATCCTGATATAGAAAAAATCTCACCGCCGACCTGGACGCTCCGGTCTAGTCCCTCCTCATCGAAAGCGAAAAAGACGCCTCTTCTACAGCAAACAACGTCTCACTGCATCAGACCCAGATGTTGAAAGTCAATTGGCAAAAAATAAGATTTTGCCAGGATGCAAAGAAGGCCGCCAGACACGTTTGCACAAAGCTCTTTGGAGCTGAGGAGGGCAACGTTGCTTTTCCGTGCCTCGTCCGCTGACCGCCACTCGACGCTCCCCAGCACCTCGCGGAAGGGGCGGGCACGACATGGTGGATTTAAGCACCAATACACTTCCTTGAGTAGGATTTAAAACTGAATGCAAAATAAACGAAGGCGCTTACAAGCTTCGCGTTGCTAATATTTCATTCAGATAGCGGCGCGCGGGCCGAGGTACCAAGAGGAATCGCCGGCGGGCGGCGCGATAAGGGGGAAGGAAGCCTGAGGAAGTGGTGGGAGAAGGGAGGGTGGGAGGGGCGAGGGCAGGTTGTGCGGGGTGTGGCGGGCGACGCGGCTATCGGGCGGGGCTAGGAAGGTAGGCTGGCGGAGTGGGTTGGGAAAAGCGAAGCCGGTGGAAGGAGTGGATTGCGAGGGGCGGAGGGGCACGAGAGGGGGTGGGAAAGGGGAGGGGGTGCGAGGCGCACGAGATAATTAACTGTCTGGCGAAGAGACGAAAGAAGAGAGCAGATTGGAGGGCGCGAACGAAAAGCTGTGTTAATGCGCCGTTATAAAGGAGACATTGACTTGCGCAAGCAATATGAACCTGCCTCTCTGCGTACAAACGAAACGCTTTCAATTTCCGTGGACAAACTTACGCACATATGAATTCTCATTGGGGATCGACAAGTGAGAGAATTTTTCCATGTAAGATGTGTGCTGACCGAATATATGATTGTCTGGTGAATACTAGGTTTCTCTACTGACGTTTTCGCAATCATATTAAATACGTACGTACCCTACTGTAGCGGAATATGCAAGGGTTTATTAATTATTCAAGGATTTACTCATGAATCTGTTTGCATGTTTACCCTTTCCTCTTTATTTCATGATGAAACTTATAATGGAGAGTGAAATTGTTAGCGCACACGACGTCACACGAAGCACGGGCTGCTCGTTTGACTGCAGTAGTGAGAATGTTCCTGCTTCTTCAACATCGTTCGCAGCTCTTTGCAAATGTTAGCAATAGTATGCAATAATGATAAGGTAAATTAATTTAAAATACTGAATAATAGACAAGGGAATTGTTAATCATAAGCAAAATTAAAAATATAATTATATTTTTACGAAGCTTTCGCAATGTATTTTAGTGTGTCATTCAGAAACAAAATACTTTGCGGAATGGTATAATAATAGTGATAAAACTAATAATAATAATAAATAATATAATAATAATAATATAATAATTCCATTATCGACAAGTTGATCGCTTGAACCGGAGAAATCAAAAAATTCAACATCTCCGCTTTCGCAGCTGTTGACTACGCCTTAAAACTCGTGAGAGAGTTAGTTCTGCGAGTAAGCTTGTTAGACGCGTCCGCCGATATAATACTGGGAATAGTTATGCTGGAAAGGAACGAACACAGAGACTTTATGTTATTTCAAATTGGTGAGCTATTTTCATTTACCATTTTAAATCATGCATTCCTGACTAAATTTGTTGCCCTGCAAGGCTACAATATAGAAACGAAAAAATAGTTTACAATGTTACATATTCGTTTGTTAAACATTTATATTTGATAACCAAATTTTTCACTCTGTGGTTAGAAAATGGTGAATTTAGATATCGAAAAACTCGTTCCTTCTTACATCTCGTTTTTTAAACCCTTTTTTCTTCTCGTCTAAAGCGCCGCCGCGCCGCGTGAAGCAGAGCAAATCAATTCCCCGATACAAGTGAGTCTAACAGTGGACGAGCGGACCATTGGCGCCGGGGAGGCCCCTGGAGGGGCGGGATTGGAGGGGAGGGCGACCGCACCTCGGCGGCCCCCGGGGCGAACTGCAGTGGCGGCGTGTGGGCGTCGGGTAGCGATCGAGGCGTGGGCGGGGGTGGGGTTGGGGGTGGGGGGTCGTGGCCGCGGGCGGGCGCCGGGTTTTTTGCGGGCGCCGATAAGGCGCGGGGCGTGCGGCGGCGGGGTGAGGGCTGGGGACGGCGTCGTGATGATGCGGCGTCGACAATGGTCCCCGCCCCTGCCCCCACCCGCCTCCGCCGGGTGATACCGCCTCCGCTCCCGCGGGCTCCCGCGCATTGTCATGCAATTTCCTGAGCCTGAGAGGCCGTAGCCGCCGCCTCCGTCGGAGGCGGCGGCAGCCTCCTCGGCCGACGGGTCCCGAGCCGCCCCGTCCCTTGTCGCCCCCACCCCCAGCGCCCGACCGGACGCGCCCGCGGCCGGGTCGTGACCTCGGAGGCGGCCCGCACCGCCCTGACGATGGCTGAGGCGTACCTCAAGGTCGGTGTTTGAGGCTGGCAGTTGTGGCACCTGGTCCAGATATCCACGAGGGTGTAGGTACATTTCGATTGGTGCAGAATACTGCAGATCTTTGTTCACAAAACCGGATATAAAATTTGAACGTTTTTTCATTATTATATGGATGTACGTATCTATTCTAGTATTACGAAATTACTGAGTAATATATTGACCAATCCGAGTTTTTTCAGCTTTTGTGGTAAACTTCAATTTACACTGCCCAGGTAAGACAAACTTTTCCGCTAAGATTTTCATTTTAATGTCTTCAGTTGTTTCCGAACTTTTGTTTCCTCTGTCGGGACTTTTATGGCTATCAACAAAGATCTTGAGTTGTGTTGAGTTCATTCATCATAATCTTCTTTAGCTTGCCCCTCTTCTTTAGGTTGCCCCAAAAGCTTCGAATATTGAAAAGCGAATTATAAAAAATAGCTGTGTTTTGTATATGTAAATTTTAATGTGTGCACAAATATTTTCAATTACAAACTGCAAGTAAGAATTTTTCATTATCTGTTATAATGATGATTGATATATGTTTCAACAGTTTGCATATTTCTACAAACAATTCAATTGTATATATCCAATTATTACCTTTAGCTGGCATTTTCGGTTGACGGATATATTAAATTTAATACTATTCTTTTGGTTTAGTCAATTATTTTCAAACAACAATATGCAACAATTTTCATTTGTTCTTCATTCATATTTGCAATATTAAGACATCACATCTCGTATTAATCTAAATCCCAATATAGAACAATTATATCGCAGTATGAACATGCTTATAGTTCGTATTGAAAAATGTACCACAACAACAACAACAAATTTCATTTAATTATTTTCAGAGGTAACTAATTCTATATTTGTGAATAGCATTTTGCTCGTTTTAGAAATACCTTAATGTAAACTCTCGACGTAGTGTGATATAAATTTTGTAACAAATGTTAAAAGTATCATATGAAGCACATATTCCCAGTTGTCGGGACGCCTCGTAAAATTTGTCATCAAACGACAGTATATTAATTTATTCTTTTTTAACACGATTTCCAATAGTTAGATATAAATGTTCTGTCAACGTTCTGTAATTATGTGCTCACATTTCTGGAATTATCTTGCTTTCCGCTGTTGGATGAAATGATATTCTAACGACAAATGTATATTACAAATTTGTGATGTCTGCATTTTCTCTGAATAATGCAAACACGGATTTAAAAATACATATTTTAAACACCCTCAATAAACAATGTATCCATATAATGTATAGTTTCATCAATTAGACCACATGAGAAAACTTTTTAAAATTCATATGATAACGGTTCTCTCTTCAAATGTTTAGAGTTACAAAATATATTACATCTTAAATTCTACAATTACAACATGGAAGTACAAAACATTTGTATATCGATTTTATTGTTATTTCACGTCTGTCTATCTCTATTATTATTATTATTATTATTATTATTATTATTATTATGGTAGGTGGATTATTAGATAGTAGATAGATATATTATTCTAGTAGACTGTAGATGGACCATACTCATATATGATCAATCTTTGGTAGTCGTATCAGGCATTAAAACATTTGTAGTTTTCACATTTATTATCAGCAGGAAGAACCAACAACAATTTCAATATTTTTATTATTGTTATTACTTTTACTATTGCTAATGAATCTAAATTATTATCAAAGATGCATAATCATCCATTTATGTTAATCGTGTTTATATCACTTGAAAGAATATCACAAGGAGAGTGTAGCAGTTTCAGGGTGTGGACTCACTGTTTTAGTGAGATTTAGAGACTTTAGCATTGGTGTTTAACTTCCACGCTCCCAGCGTAGCAAATTACTCCCTAAACTGACCTCTGCGTCTGCTCTGCGGTGAAGTAACGCCAATATTTTACTGTTCCGAATTTGCGCGTAACGCGGCGGAAGTACAGAAAGCAGACGGTGCAGACTGATGGTGGCGCGCCCTACAAAATGGCGGCCAAGGACCGCAGTCGTTTGCATTTAATGTAGCGTGCTCAATAACGGAGGCAGATATCCGGTATTAAATAAAGACTCCAACTATGAATCATAATTGAGCCCTAATAATAAATAGCGCGAATTACGGCAAAAAATGTCGATATACACGATTGCCAATAAATAAAGTGACATTGGCGACAAATTTTCCAGCACGCTAAAATAAAAATTGCCTCCCTGCGAATGGGCCGTGTAATGGGCGGGCTGCGAGGGTAGCGAAGCGCAGAAAGCGGGTCGCCCCTTTGTTCTGCGCACTTGCAGTTTCAATGTGCGAAAAGAGAAACAATATCGAATACGTGGAAAGCACGTGAAGCAAAATCGCTGCAGCTGCCATAACCGGATTTGCTGATCGGTTTGGGCATTTACCAACGCTGCGCAGTTTCTACGAAATGAACGTATGCGTATTGCTCCTATTTTGAATGCTTGATTATTTGTTTAAGGTGCGTTTAGATTTAGTACGCGAGATTGTAATTAACGGATCTATCAAAATGAGATCATAAGTTGTTTGTCGTTCACGTGGATATTGAAATTACCCTGAGTTGGTAGATTTTTATCTTTGTGAGCAATAAAGTAGTTGCGATTAAAATCTTTATAACGTATGAATATTTGGATTGACTTTTAAAACAATATTCTTAAACGTCGTTATTGTGAAAAGTACAGATACATGCGAAGCACAAAATGAATACTGTTTTAATACTTTTGTTTGTTAACTAAAACATTATTTTCCTAAAAAAATCTAAAATGTATCTCTTTATATATTTATCTTAATTAAAATGTTCAACATTGCTCAACGTTGTATTAACTCATAATTCCAGATACTAGTAATGTATTTATAATAATAATGTAATTGTTAACCATTTTAATTTATTAATTGTGTGTGTTATAAATTTCATTTTCATAAATATTTTAAACATATAAAGATAAAATTGTTCAACATACCATAGTATTAAAGTACAATTTAAAGATATCAAAACAATACCAGTAATTTGTTTTCAACGTGTGTTTATTATTAAAGTGAAAAGCCAAATAAATATTTGTAAACTATTTCGTTTTTACAATTATTTTTCATTTATTTTTCTGAAATGTAAACAAAATATTTTATGTGCTTACCGTATAAATGCAAATGGCAGTATATAAATTAAATCAAAATTGCAATAGAATATGGTTTTAAAATATCCAAAGAAAAAACAATGGCATATACAGGAAAATACCCAGTGAGAACAAAGATTGTGATAGAGGGAAAGAGTATAGAACAGGTAAAATACTTCTAATATCTAGGTTGCTATATCTCATTTGAAAGAGATATAGATTTGGATAAAAAATTAAATAAATTTAGAATTATATGCGGCACAATACACAGACATCTAAAAAATAAAACTAGGATAGAAACAAGAATAAAATTCTTCTACACAGTAGCTGTGTTAGTGTTACTGTATGGAGATGAGGCAAGAGTAACATCAAAAAGATAACTCTAAAATCCAGGCTGCTGAAATGAAATTTGTAAGAAACACTCTAGGTTATAATATCCTAGAAAAAAGAAAAGCACAGAGATAAGAAATAAACTGGGGGTCGAACCACTGCTGGAGAAACTGGAATCAGAAAAGATGATTTGAACATCTCATACGAATGCCCGACAGCAGACTACCAGCACTCGCTGTGGATTACAGATGCAAAGCGAGAAGAGATCTAGGAAGGCCCAGAAGGAAGTGGACACCGGAACAGGTTCATGAACCTAACCCTTGAAGTTGAGAAGAAGAATAAGAAGAATAAGAAGCTTACCGTAAAATTAAAGAAAGGGACTTAAGGGCGGTGTAATTTCAATATTAAAAAAATATAAACCATTTTTGACGAATATTTTTATATTAATCATGTAATTGATTAAATATTTATTTACAATATCTTTGACAAACATTTCTCAGAGAATCTGAAATCTAGAAGTAAAGTTTACTAACAAATATTGAAATCTCAATGAAATGACAGATAAAGAATTGTAAAATATACATGTTAAAGCACAAAAATGCTGTGTATATAATGTGCATTCACTGTTTTTGTCGGACTTGGGAGAAATATTTCGTACGTTATCAGTTCCTGGTAAGAAATAGAAAAGCCAAATTAAATATTTTGGAGTACAGTTTTCTTGATGGTTAGGTACATAAAAGATTGAGCCATGTATGGCATTGAGAGCTGATTGTTGGGGAAGAGAATAAATTAGAGGCGGTCCCCTACAATTTATAGCTCCGTGTAACCCCAGCCAAGTCTGCGCGAAGCCCATCGGATCCCGTGCGCACAGTTGGGAACCCCACTCCTTTAGGAGATACATCGGTAATTGACTGAGGCTCCGTCTAACCCCGACGTCTCTGGCGAACCGCCGGGGCGGGACGACGCCGCCACGTCACGCGGGGCCCGCGCGAGGCGGGGACGGTGGCGGGGGCGGGGCGAAAGCGGGAGAGCGCCAAATTTTCCTTACCGCTCACCGCCTTGCCTCTTCCGCCCCGACCGGCTGTAACCGAACCCTGGATCGGCCCAGTCCAATTCTAACATCGGCGTGATTGGTCGTAAGCTGGCTTCCGATTAGATAACGATTCGCTCCTTTACAGTCACGATGCGCCGCACCATTCTCTGGTGGCGCGCCGCTGCTCCGCCCACGCCATCCTCTGCCCCCCGCCCCCCAGTCGGGCTCGTCCTCCGCCGTCTAACCCTGTCGCTTTCCATTCCGGCCCCCTCCCCTCCCACACTGTCGCCTCCCGCTATCTCCGCGAAAGGCGCCCGTGGAAACTTCCTCGAGGCTGGGCCACTTCCGGCCCGAGATAGACGCGTCGCCCCGCCCTTTCCGAGCTCGGTCTGTCGCTCTCCCCTCCGCAATACCTGCGCATCTAGTTCCCGAGCGCCTTTTTTACAAGCGCCACCTTGACTTGTGTTTGCTGGAAGGAAGAATGTGTTTCCGATGTTCGCTGTGTACGTCGTCGGTG